TATACATCCACTTGCAAATAACTGTTTCAAAATTTATGATTTCCTGGTACTTTGCACTTAATTAAAATTTGAATTTATAATTCAATCGTTGAAATAGATTTCAAGAGTAACAAAATACACGTCTACACTCAATCACAACCAGGGTGGAAGGGCATATATAATGAAATAAATCGTTTAATATTCTCTTACCTAAACGACAAATTGTTTATGTAAAACCTGTATACGCGAGCTACGCCGCGGGCACAGCTAGTCTGAAATAAAATAAGTATAAATCTACAACATGTATTATTGAGAGGAGTGTTTTGAAGTAGTAGTAGCTGGTAGTAATTAAAGACTTACTAAATGGGCATAATTATTAATACATTAAAATCAATTCTAATATTACATTATAAGCAAGTGTGTCTGGCTGTTATCATTACATAGGTCAATTACATCAAATTATGTACACTTGTAAGTAGATAGTGTATGTAATGGAAAGCTAAAAGCTCCCTTGAACAATGAATTTATATTTGCCTACTTCATATCTCCGTCCGTATATAAAAAATTACATATTATACTTGTTCCTGTACCTGTTAATGTTTTTAAAGTAAATAATCCTCTTTTCCTCTTGCTTAATTTTAAACTTTCTATGACCTCATTATCTGCAAAAAAGGAAAAGTAAATACCCAAAATAAAGTAGCATGTACACAAAATATATTGATATTTGAAATAATATCCAGATATAGTTTATCTTTTTGTGCATTCTATTCAATGTTTATTTTAAGTAACATTTTGACAATACTACAGAACTATATTACCATGTTGGTTTTCTTTATCTATTTTCTCTGGAGCATGTATTTCCACAGAACTCAGGTTTACTGTGAACAATAACAATAATGTTGCTTAAATTTCAAAAAATTCCATTTCTAATTCACAATATAACTCTGCTGTTTAATAGTAAGTAAAATGCAAGCTTTGTATAGAGTAGTGATGTAAACAAAACAAGAAATAAAGCTTCATCCTTAATTATGATAATTATGTAACAAATCTTTTACCTAGGACTTTCTCTTCTGTGTTTGAGTCAATGACTCCAGGTACAGTCAGATTTATGTATGGGCAAATACTGTCTATGACGTTTTCTGTAGTGCCCGCTTCACCAACTCCACCTCCAGTCTGTAATAAACTGCCGACTTCCATTGACAGCTCCTTCTTACGACAACTTTTTATGTTTTCCCAGCATCTCTTTAGCTGTAATGCCGTTCTCTTGACCACAAAAGGTACTGCATTGTAGGCATTTTCAATTTCGTCCCATGCCGCCCTCTTGAGCTCAATGTTTCGGGCATTTGTCTGTTTGTTTTCAATAATGGGACGTTCACTTACCAAACTTATGATTAGTTCTTTTTCGGCGGAGGAAAAAGCTATTTTTTTTGAGCTAAAAATTAAAATAATGTATGTTGAATGAATTATCAAAAAACTAACACAAAATAAACATTACTGAGGAAAAATATTTGAGTTACCATTTAGCACTGTTAGCCGGAGATATTATTTCCATTATCACAAAAATTCTACTTGGTATTTAAGCTAAATTTTACTTCAAATAGCGTATCGTATCTAACACAAGCCAGTTTGCAAAAATCAACACATTAATTGAGGTTATGTACTAATTGACATTTGACGCTTGAAAATTGAATAACTTGAAGCTAGCCCCGAAACCGACCAATCAAAACGCCGAATCCTTCCCTATGCATTCACTGAGTAAAGAAATACTTAAGTGTTGTCTATGAAACAAGTCGATGGACATATCCAACACTGTGAGAAATCGGACACTTCGCAGTGAGAGCCAGTACACTTAAATAAGGGTGGTTCTTGAATACGGGTGATAACGTCGTTTTAGGAATGTTACTGTTTCAATATCAGAGTATCGATAATGTTGTTGAAGTTTACTAAGTTTGAAATGCTTTTCGATATAATAATAGGGAATATACATGATTGTTTTATTGCATAAATCTGTTTATCATGGCTTAACCTACAACTTCTTGCATCTAATATCTTTAACAGTACAAACTGTTTTTAATGTAACAAACTTATAGCCCTCTCCTATTCTCTCCTATCACGCCATATAAGCCAGGATCTATAATGATTTTGTCCTTGAAAACCATCAGACAATGAAGCCTGGTATGTAAAAAAGAAGACTTGTTGTATTGCTAAACATTAACACAGCAAGTATCCTCGGCATGCTCATAAGCAACATAGAAAATATCATCAGCATGCCTAAAAAAAAACCTACCTTTGCTCCACATAAAGTAAGCTACTTAGCATAGTTGGTATATGCTACTCATTTTTGTTGGTATGGGTACAGTGTCGTTGATTATTTTACCTCTACTTATACTCTTAAATATTGTAAAGAATTATTGTAAAAATATCGGCATCCTGTATATTTTTTTATCGATAACCCCAATCGATAACGTCGTCAATCACTAACTTTAACATTGGTAACTAAATAGTGACTAGTCTTGTGCCTGGTCGGTCATTTTAAAGATTCTTATTTCTTATTTTTTTCTTATTTATTAAAAACGTTACCCCCACACTAGGATTTTCTCCTGTGTTCGTTCCGTACTAGTACATTACGGACAGCGAACATGTTCGTTCTATTAGTTCTATTAGTTCAATTCAGTCATCAGAAACTACTAACCTGTTTAAATTGTATCTATCTTTATGGAATGGTTATCTCAGTCAGTCACTGACTGAATCAGTCAACAGTCAGACTGATAGATGCAATTTAAACAGGTTAATGCAGTCAGTCTCAGTCGGGCGATATTTGCTCGAGTCCTAACGTTGTCTGATAAAAAAATACATAATATTTGATTTCCCTTCATACTTGAACAGGCTTAGGACTGTCATTCTAGTCAATAACATAAAGATAATATTATACCATTTTTATGTATTGCAATAAAATATTTTTGTCTATACTTACATAAATTTATTGGCCACTGCGTATTATGGTGAAAGGCTAAGCAGAGAGCAGGGATTTGTTGTAAACTTGATTTGATTTGGGTAGCTAGCTACAGAGAGGCATTCATCGGCTCTTGTCCTTGAATTAAAGATCCTTAATATATATTTTAACTGTTAAAATAATTAGTTAAAAAAATAACAAATTTATTAAATAAATAAAATTAACCATAATTAATAAAATTATCACATTTCAATCCATTCAAAACAATCTGCGATCGATTTCTTACCTTAGTGATTTATAATTTTATATTAAATTTTATATTTATGCCATCTAGCGTCTTCTTTATGTGCCACCTTGAGAATCAATTAACTTTCGTTTGACAAAATGACTTTAATACCTGTTGAATGGAGTAGATGGCGGTTTACAAAGCAGTATTATTCGAATGAAAATATTCCTTCAAAACATATTTTTGATACCTAGTCAGGTCATAAATTCTGTCACATGTTTAATTTAAAATAATTGAAACAAGTTTATTCATTATGAAACCATTTATATACCAAAATGAACTTAACAAAACATAGATTCTTATGACACTAAAGTTTATTCAAAATGACCTCCGTGATTTTGAATACAGGCCTTCAATCTGCGCGGCCAGTCGTCTATCGCAGCACGAACGAGGTCCATGTCAATATCGGCGGCTGCCTTAATCAAGGATGTCTTGAGTGACTCCAAATTGGGATGAGGCTTAGAGCACGCCTTTTCCTCCAAGTGTTGCCATATCTTGTAATCTAACGGATTCAAATTTGGACTGGAGGAGGGCCAGTCTTCGTGCCGGATGAAGTCGATTTCACGCGCCGCCAGCTAGTCTTGTGTGCTCTTCGCTCTATGATAAATAAATCTTTATATTATAAATAAACGATAAACGAATCTTTTGGTTATATTCAAATTATTCAGTATGTCAAAAATTTGAATTGGCGCGTAACCGCAACGATGCAACGCAATAACTACAACACGGTATTCTTTAAGCGTCCACTCCATATTTAAAAATGAGTAAAATTCTAAAAAGTATACAGTTTTATTTTCATGAACAATTCGAAATTCGAATTCAATAAACTTTTTTGTGGCCAGCATTCTAAAAGATAAGTTTTTACTGTGTGACAATACTTATGACCTGACTAGGTATATGATTTTAAAACTGTGGCTTCACATGTCTAAAAATAAGCATTGTAATAATTATTTGCTATAAAATTAACCTTATATCCAATATTTTATTTAACGCTATGTCTACCTTGAATGACTACTGACCGATTCGTGGATAATCTGTTTGCGTGCGTCGTGCTTTGCTTCATAGTTCCCACTAGTTCACACTCGCACAGTTTAGCGTTGGCGTCTTGCGAGTGTAGGCGAACGAAAAGAACTGGTAGAACGATTAATAACCGGCATTCGGAAACGTTTCTTCTAGTACAGTGGCAAGATACGTTTCCTAATCGTTCATTGTTTGCGAACTACACAAGACTAATAGTGACATTTACTGGATAACAGATGGCGCTTATTACAATAAAAATAAATGTTCTAGAACAATCTACTAAAAATAATAAAATTTAAAGATTATTCGGTAAATATATGTTATACTTACAATAATAAATCGAAATCACGTTCATTTTTTGCTCCATATCGTGTCTTACATTATATTAATGCACATCCGGGCATATTTTCTTTATAAATATTTTTTAAATATATGAAACGAATGTGTCTTGACTTTTTGACAATGTCACTAAGACTAAATGATAAAAATCGGAGATATATTCTATAGGACAAAAGTTACAGACGATAATTTTGCTACTGATGTTCGGTCTATTACTACTACTACTTAAATGTCTTTGCATGTAAGTATGTGTCCTGAGGCTGAAGTTAAAGGATTAATGAAGATCAAAATATATAAAACGCAATTTCTTAATTATTATAAGTTTGTGTAACAAATAACTTTACTTTCTTCGAACTAGTAACATGGTGAAAGTAAAATGATTAGCCGTCGTTATTTGATAATGAAGTGGGTCATGTCCGGCAGATCGGCGGCGTCGTTCGGTTCGTTCCACCTGATCCGGCTGCTGTACGACGAGTACGTGTCGTACCTGATCGAGCGCCGCGTCGCCGCGCACCGCAAGCACCCGCCCATCTCCGTCATGCCGCGCGCTCTGGTAACCACGCGCACACACGCACTCGCGTGTATATATTCCAGCGCGCGCGTATACATACATACACACACACGCCAGCAACCACGTAGAATCGCCCACTTACTCCAGTGCGCTCTCATATATACACACACACGTGTACATACACATAAAATACACATACGCACGCGCACAAACACACGCGCCAGCACCCACGCACACACGCGCCAGCACCCACGCACACACGCTCACACACACACGTGCCAGCACCCACGCACATGCACATGCCAGCACACACACACACACACACACACACACACACACACACACACTAAAACAAACGCACACACACATACACACACTTAAATGACCTATCAAACAAACATTTCACCTGATGGTAAGTGGCTACTGCAGTCCATTCTCCAACTACATAGTCCAACTTTAAATTCGAATTCGAAATGTCTCATAGCCTACCCAAATGGACCCTCAGCCAGACAAGTTTTATAATATATATATATATATATATATATATATATATATATATATATATATATATATATATATATATATATATATGACAGATCACCAACATACGCACGCACAGACACACATAAACAGACGTACACACGTGTTGTTGATTTCTATCACAGTGACACCTTATATATTATGCATATTTGCTGCTTTAAGCCTTCAATACTCTCTTCTGTGTATTACATAAATATTATGAACATTACAAAAGCGTCGACTCTACCATTCAGCCGACGAAGGGACGCCCTAGGCGAAAGTTTATCGACCAACTTGTCTATATACTGAAAATAGGCCAAATTAAGAGTACCCTTAAACGACGACTGTGTATGCGTAAGTATATGTCCATGTCTGTTCCTAGTCCATAGTCTCTACCTACCCCTCTGGGTGACAGGCGTGAGTGTTTATGTATGTATATGATATGTATTACAAAAGCTATCAGAAGTGATCCTTAAAATCTTTCATCTTAGGACGACGAAGAAGATGATTTACTCGAAGAAGCGCGAGACGGCGAAGACGAGGATATGGAGCAGGAACAGGATCTTGAGGCCGAGCTGGAACACGAACAGGATCAGGACAACGACAACGACAACGATAACGACAACGACCAGGACTGGGAGTGGGCCGATGACGATGACGAAGATGATGACCAGCCCATCGAAACTAAGAAGACCAAGCTTCATAATTAGATGTATGGTACGCAGAGTTAAAATTAAATTTCTCTTTTCCAGAACCTTATTCAATATCCAATTAAAAACAAGCAAGGAGATTTTCAAGAGTGTAGCTAAAAAAGAACAGCAGAGTGTAGCTAAGAAGGAACCGTGGCCATAAGGTATTTCTAACGCAAAGATTTCTATTTATACTACTACGCTACTAATACATTGCGCACTGTCATTACATCGTCATGATATTATACTGCGCACTAAGTTACGGTCAATTCTCCATAACTTCTTTAGTAGACTGCGAGTACACTTGAGAGCAATAAAATCGCACACCTTCACTTTTTTTGTTAAGGCAGTATTTTTTTCATGAATGTGAATAAATACTGAAAAAAAAAACACATCGATTGAAATTTTACTTCATTACCTTTTTAATTATATCAAATACAGTGTAAAAAAATAGCAATAAGGGGTTTTAGGGCACATAACCCAACATACGGGTAAAGTTACCCAATTTCGCTTAAGAAATAATGAAAATCTAACTCAAAATTCTTGATCAAATTGTTTATTAATAATTTGTATTCCTCCCCTAGCCTTAATTGCAGCTCTTAATCGGTTTTTCATGGACCGTATTAATTTTACCATGAAATCTTGTGGTATGGCGTTCCACTCCTCTTAAAGAGCAAGTTGAAGCTCTTGGAGGCGCGTAGGAGCAGGGCTTCTTGCTCGAACTCTTCTTTTTAGCTCATCCCAGACATGCTCAATCGGATGGAGATCAGGACTACGAGCTGGACACTCCATCGCGGTGATTCCAACGTCTTCCATGAAGTCGCAAACTGTTCTAGCGACATGCGGTCTGCCGTTGTCGTGCATTAAGAGAAAATCTTCTCCCATAAGCCACGCAAGCGGCCTCACGTGTTCTTCGAGCACTTCTTCCACGTATCGTACAGCCGTCAACCCTCTCGATCTCGGCCCGGTATTCGCCTCGGTGATGAAAACAATGACAATTTTAGTGTTAATTAATAATTTTAATTAACAATTTTAACATTATGCCACCCCAAAACATACACGAACCACCTCCAAAAGCCACACGTTCATTTATGCAACATTGTGAAAATCGCTCTGACGACCTCCTGTAGACCCTAGAGAGTCCATCATGGCCATGTAAAGTCATTCTGCACTCATAAGAGAAAATAACAGGCCGTATGACCAATGATACGTCCAATTTAAGTGTTCCCTGCCAAATTGTAGACGGGCTTGTCGGTGATGAGCTGTGGTCAATTTGAGACCATTTGCCGGGCGATGTGAAGTAGATTTAATTTTTCGGAGTGTTTCTTTATGAGGTCACTAGTTGTTTTAAGTGTGTTATTTGTTGGGTCGTTTTTAACCTTTTTATAAGTACTTACATCCGACAAAAGTTCTTGTATTTTAGAATTATAATCCGACGTATCCATGACTACCGTGGCATTTCCCTTATCTGCGCGGAGAATCGTGAGTCCTAGTTTATTGCGTAGGTCATTCAACGCTTTAAATTAGTCTTTAGGTAGATTCGGTTTTGGCGCTGAATTTCGACGTAACATAGACGAAATATCTTGACGTATCGCTTCCAGATCTTCCTTTCGCATATTGTTCAGTTGTAGTTTTATTTGTGTGTAGTGTTCGCGTAAATATAAGAAATCATTATGGTTTTTGTAAGTTACGTGCAGGTCAATGATTTTAATTTTGTGCCTTTATAAAGCTAATCTTGTATGCTTTAATTTTGCCAAATGATTTGTACTCAATATCTTCAGATTTAAGAAAAAAATCAGTAATAAATCAAATTGCAAGAGGTGTGCCATTTTATTGCTCTCAAGTGTAGTTCTTTGTTTTGTAAACTGCAAACGTTGTTTTCGACAATCAAACGAAAAGTAGTACAGCCCTCCACAAGTCCACTGCTGAACATAGTCCTCCCCCAAGGAATGCCGCAAAGCACGGTCCTGAGCCACCTGCATCCATCGACTTCCTGCATGTCTGACCAGGTCGTCACACCATCTGGTGGGAGATCGCCTTACATTTCGCCTACCGATACGAGGCGGCCACTCGAGATCCTTTTTTCCTCATCGAGTGCCTGGTTGTACAGTCTCGTTTTCAAGTTTTGAGGTATACCTGACGACAAGATGTGCCGTAATTTCCCGAACGCTGTCCAGTCGAGTTGAATCCGTCGATTGACCTTTCGGTCGAAGTTGGACTTACCTAGTCGAACTATTTGTCCCAGGTAAACATGCTCGTCAACAACTTCGAGCTTAGTGCTCCCAACAACTACCAGCATAGGTGTGACATGGACGTTATACCTGATATATATTACAGTGGGACAACGATAAACGAACACCCAAAATTTACCCTGTTCGGACTAATAAGGCGTTCGGATTACAGTATATAGATATTATATCATTTTCACGGGCGAAGTCATCCAGATCTTGGTCAGGAGTTTCCTCTGGCTTGAATAACGAGGGTCACAAAGGCTGTCAAGATTTTTTGATCAGATTTAAGGACAGTTGTTGCCAACATTGAGCCAGAGCAAATACAGCATCTTTCATGGTGTTTTTTTTTAAGAATTTCAGATGATGTACATTTTGAATGAATGAATAATATGTTTTTTGTATATTATTTTAATTGATTACGCTTTGATCCATTCGTTGAATTAAAGCCGTACTGTTAGGCGGCATGTATAGAACAGTAAAATTTTCGTCAATCGACACTGCGATGTTCTGTGAGACAGCGGCTTGCACGAGCAGGGTTCGTTCGGATTATCTTATTCTCTCCATATTATTTGTTAAAAAAAATTACCTGGTGCTTAGACTTAGGTATTTAGTACAATTATTTTATTCCAGGTAAACTCGAGGAAATCTAAACAGCCCGTCTTAAAAAGTGAATACAAGTATTCCAGTACTGAATAAGTGTTGTGAGTGTTTAAACACATCTTATTGTAAAATAAATGGTATGTGGTAATTGTTTAGTGTTGTAAAATATTTGGATATTAACCCGAATCTAGTCAGAAGTACCCTATACGACTAAAAACAAGTGTTTGCAGAGAAGTTTTGGCCAATGCAAATATATTTAAGAAATTTCATTGTATTGCATGCAATTTATTATATATTTTAGTTCTGTAAGTGCTGCCATTTGTGAAATTAGTATACACTTTTCAGTGTATTAAAAGTAAATTGAAGTACATTTAAACATGGGAATATTTCTGAAATGTAAAAAAAAAATTGCCAGTTTACTATATATACCTTATTATGGCAACATTTGCAAAACGTTTCAATACTTCATAACAACGAAACATGAGTATTTCGTTATTGTGGAGTCTATACTCTCTATAAATATTACGAGATTTATTAGATTATAAGTTAACCTGAAAAATTATTGTCTCTTCTTTATAATAAAAACCGCGAATACCGTTGAATTCTATTAAAATTTTTCGTAAACGAAAGAAGTTTAGTTTCAAACATTAACGTTTTATTTGCAATAATCTGTCTGCTTTCGTTTTACAAATAGAATTGTTACTGTAATATATGTTACTTGGTAAGTTAGTAATTTTTAACCTCGTAGTTTAAGGAATTCGGCCAATGTGCCACGTGTGAAATTTGAGCTATGGCACAAAAGTGCTGCCATTTGAAATCACCGAATTTGATCTTTCGAAACATTTTCAATGACAAATTAGTGGGTACTGCTTTCTGTTCAAGCAAAATTGAATTTAAAATGTATTCTTGTACATACACGGTATTTCTAGTGTTAAGTCATTAATTTATTGTTCACTGCACTCCAATAGATAGGTTTGTGCACATACCAAAAAGAGTTTGTGTTGCTCATTTAGTTTAGTATACGAAGAAGTTTTGTTAAGTCTTAAATGCTTAAGTTATATTTTACTATATCACTATAAACAACAAAGCGACTTAAGTCTGAAAATATTAATTTAGAAAGTCGTTTAAAACTAGGTTATTTTCTAGTCTTTGGTGTTAGGAAGATAAATATAACCTAATTATTATGACTTGAGCTCCTCAAAACATACCTCACTTTTGCGTAGCTCGATGTTTGCTTATATTGCAAGAAAATCTTTATCCATTGCAAACATTATGGACGCACATTTTTCAGTTACTCAGCGAGACATCTAATTGTTCACATCGAAACTTTTCGGCAGATTTGCAAAATCCGTAGCTTTAATATCGTATACGTAAGGCACGTATTTATATTTGTGAATAAACTTGTCCCGAGATACCTCCTCTCAAATATACCTATTCAAGGCTTCTGCTATCTCGCTCACTTCATATTTTATGATGATGTACCTCCTGTCTCCTGTGTCAAAGCAATGTATACCATGTCATGTTGCATCCTTTTAATTTGGAACAAAAATGTGTATTTAATCAAGTAGATATGTAAAGTTAATTATGTATACACGTTAATCGATATTATGAAATGCATGTTTTTGGCTACGAATTCTTAATTTGTGACACGTATAGTCGATTTATTTATTGATATTTATATATAGGTATATAAAATGAGTTTAATGGCGGCGGAACGTTTTGTTTCTGAGTGATCGAACAGCTCGTGTGCATGGTTTTAAGTTAATAAGTATTTATCGTTTCTATTTATTTTTAATTGAATTAATTTATATATAAATCGCTTCTCTCTTATCATTAAGGGAACGTAATTATTCCATTGTTCGCACTAGGATCCGTGTTTATACTGTTTGTAAATGTCTATTCACACGAGCGTTATTGTAGATATGATTTTCCGTATGAAATGTGCGTTCAACGCAGCATTGCATTTGTGTGTAGACTTTTCAACTTCTACAATTCTTCCGTCATACATAGAATGGTGTTGTGTATTCTGCAATTCTTCCCCTATAAGTATGTAACTGATTCTTGAAAATTATATGTATGCGCTCGATGTCACAAAAAGTTGCCGTGTAAACAGAGAAAATAAAGCAATGTGCATGTTTGGAAAATAATATTACGAGGACGAGGCTGTACATTTTTATTAAAGTTTTGCGG